ATAGCTTATTATTCTGTACCCAAGCCGCCATAGCCAATTGTAAAGAAGGAGAAGTATAAAAAGAATGTAAATTGTAAGGAGACACGGAAGGGAAGTAGTGAACATAGAAGTGAGAAAATTAATAAAGACTCGGTCAAATACAAACATGTCTAAAATCACCCATTCATTTATTACCCCAGTAACGGTTACGCGAATATTTGCTAGAGTTAGCGACTGACTCGCCGTTACACCGTTACAATATCATCCATGTGTAATGTTAAGGGTGTTGTTTGTGAATTATTTCAATTTTAAATGATTGATTTGATTTTATTGTATATTTGATAAACATCACGTGTGGTGGAAATGTCCACACGTGATGGTTCTTAATAAATTTTAGATACAAAATTGTGATAGGTTAATGTTTTTCCGCAATCGAGATTTATTGTATATATATTTGATTAATAAAATTTTATCCATTTTTCCGCAATCGAAAGTTATTGTATGTATATTTGGTTAATAAATTTTATTCGGTTTTTCTGATGATATTATAAATTGAGAATGTGGAGAATTTTTCAGTTAAAAATGAAAATGAAAATGAAAATGAGAAAAAATATCACTTGTGCTTGTAATTATTGTATTAAGAAGAGAATTCGTTGTGATGATGGAGATCCTTGTTCAGTTTGTAAATCGAAAGGTATTGATTATGTGAGAAGAAAATTATTAAAAAAACATGGACCGAAGTCTGAACCTAGACGCAAAATGAAAAATAAATTGAGGGGGTGTGATATAATGAAAATTGAGTCCCTGTATGTAATTTTATGTATGTAATTTTATATATGTAATTTGATTTGATATATTTATTTTAATAAGATTTTTATTTATTTATAGGTTAAATTGATGAAATATCATTCCGTATCAATTTTGACATGATTTATATATTGAAGAATAATTAAGATAAATGATGTTATAGTTGATGTTATAGAAAATCATTAAAAAAAAATTGATTGTATCAGGTGAATATATTTAAATATTCATCAGAAAATCTGATATATGCATAATAACTAAAATTTTCCAAGTAATTTGATTTTAAAATGCATTCAGGAGGTGGATTGAATTCTATGTTATTCTCTTCACAGCGAATGAGAATGAATAATAAAATGATATTATGGTTACCCAACTTTAATCTAATATACATTCTATTGAGGTCTCTTTGAATATATGAATAGAGAAATCTATATTTTTTATTAATTTCTCGAGAATCAATGTTGATAATTTTATCCATCAATTCGTTGTAGATATCAGGCTTTAGAATATTGAAGTTGTAATATTTACTTTTGTAAACATTATAATTAAAATTTTCATTATTTATCCAATAGTATTCTTTACCACTTGAAACCCAGTAAAGGGTACCATCGTATCTATTTTTCATTAATAGTTCTTTTTGTCGTTCAGCCTTTGAATTGTAAAAATCATGAATTATCTTAGAATGAAATAAGATATATCGATCGCTGACAATAGGTATTTTTTCATGTTTTTTATCTAACTTTATAATATCTTCTTGAATGTATGCAGGTTTGGTCAAGATGTAATTGCGATCAGGTGAGATGTATACTTCATCGTAATATTTACGAATTTTATGTTCGTTAAAATTATCTGAAGGAAGAAATTCTAAATGGAGAAGACGATTTTTTTCATAAGATCCACTTGCAAATTCAAGTATTTTTGAATAGATTATTTTATCAACAATTTTTGAAAAATTTTTGTTGACGAGTTTTAAATTTGTATAATTGAATTCGAGAGAAAGAAAATCATCAAATAGGATTTCTAATATGATGTGATATATGTCTTCATTCATTGTAATCTTTCGGTGAAATTTCAGAAATAAAGTATTTATATATATTTATAATTAATTTATCTAAGGATTTCAAAATTACCAAACATGGTTAATTCTTTAATTTTAAAATTACCAAACATGGTTAATATATAATCACTATAGTTTGATCGTGTGAATAATTTTGAGAATTTTATCTTGATGGGATTACTTATTCGAAATGAAATTATATATATAAGTGCCTTTTGAGATTATTCTAAAGAAATCAAAGTTACAGACGAAGAAATTCTCATTCCACTGAACATACGTTTATTGATTTGAGCAATCCAAATAATCAAAATGAGCAAGATGAGCAAATCAAAGAATCGATTACAAATAGAATATCAAAAATTGATATTCTAAAGATCTTTTTGAAATACTTTATCATTTCTTTGTATATCTATTTTATCATTCTTATTTTTGTTCATCATACTCCATTTATTCAATTTGTTGAGTTTAAGGTGAATATGGATTTTTCAAACACGACCGACGAGTTCAAGGATTCATTCTTAAGTGTATTTAATGAATTCTCCAAGAGCTTACTTAGTAATCCACACGCTCATCTTTTTAATGTTACTTTCATTAATTCTTGAGATAATTATCTCGCAAGATGCTAGTGAATATATGTGGGCATATATATATCCGTTATTATATTTATGGTTTACGTGATTTAATAAATTTAATATTTTATTGATGAAATTAATGAATGATACATGAAATATTTCTATCGTTAGAATTTAATAAAGTAAATAAAAAAGTAAGTAAGATACATATTGATAAGGTATTCATTAAAAGAATGTCAACCATGCGATATTTGGGATCTTTTAAAAAACTTGAGATATATGATGTAATTGTTTTCACTATTTCGATAATTGAAGAAAAGTTAACATCCCGTAAATTAGAAATCAAAAAGTAAAAAAAAGAGGTATTATCAGAAGGCCTATTATCATCATCAGTAGTAATTGAGACTAATTGATCTACGTAGTATTGGAGTTCTTCAATTTTACTCGAAAAAAATCTATTTTGTTCCTTTAGTGAATTTATTTCTATTTCATAATTTTTCAATTGTTTTTTCGTTAATTATAGATCACCCTCAAGTAGATTTTTTTTTCGTTCTTCAGTTTTACATTCTAATACCACTATTTGGTGATCTTTTCTTAAAGCTGTGAGTTGTAATTGATAGTGGTTGATTGTATCCCATAAAGCTTTATTGGCATCCTTGTAGATATCATTTGAATTTATTAAACTGCTGGTAAATTCATTAGAAAATTCTGTTTCTTTATAATATGAAGGTGTGTTAGGGGTGCGAGGTGTGTATGGTAATTTGTCCGCCATCGAGATGAAAATAAGATAAAATAAAAGAGAGGAAGTGTTGTTTTTATAAAATATCGGAATGGTCGGGATATTCAAAGTTAATGCCAGAGGGGGAATTTCCGTCTTTAATTTTTTTGTAATTTTCAGTTAAATTTTTACGAATTTTTGATTTTTTTTGCTCGCAGAGGATGGTGTCGTATGCTTTTGAAATAATGCAACAGATGACAATGAGGGTATAATCACTGTCGTGGTATTGGGTGTATGATATGAAGAAGAAACAAGCAATCATCCAGAGTATGTTGCTCATCAGGTTGTGAAAAATGACGAAGAAGAGAACGAAAAAGGACATTTTATCAGCGTTTTGATTTTGTAAGTAGGACACGAGTGCGATGGTGAGAATCAGGGTAAAGAAATATTGGTGATTTGTCATTTTTTGAAATAATTTACCATAAACGGGATCACGATTATTTTATACTTGTGTTGGATTTATAGATCTTATCCAATTTTGGATTTATTAAATAAATGTGGACAATGTCGTGAACAATACTATGAACAAAGTTTCCTTGTTGGAATGGTGTGATCTCATTAATTTTTTTGAGAAGGGCATTCATTCCAAATAAGGATTAGTATATATTTTAAATGGGATATGATATATGATGATTCGATATTTTCGGTTCGGTCTATCCTACCTTTATTCCAATTTGAGATTGAATGACTAGTGTCCACTATTTGATCTGTTAATATTTTTTACTTGTATTCCAATTCGAGATTGAATGATTGGTGTCCATTATTTGTGTTAATATTTCTACTTGTATTCTAATTCAAGATTGAATGATAGATGTCCATTGTTTGGTATAATATTCGTATTTAGATGCTACTAGAAATCAATTATATAAGAAGGTTGATTTGACCAAGGTAGGATAAGATGTCTTCAGATCAAGTTTAATCGCAAAATACTAGCACTTTCCTTTTAATACTTCTCTCTTTTTTTTTCCCACCTTTTGGAATAATCGCACTGAGGGGTTGCGATTGCCAATTGTGTATCAATATCTTGTTAACAGTGTGTGGTTACCTTCCAGATAGTTATTATTTTCTTTATTATATTTTTATTTCTATTTTATTCTTTTTTATTTATAATAATCACCATAGGTCTTGTCCACGCGATTTACATCATCACTCGTCGTCCTAAATTACTCAACAATTCCACCCTGCCAGCATGAAAAAATTTATTTCCCTAATCGTAATCATATTTTTGTTGTTGTTTATTCCATCAGTCTTATATCCACAATATTATATCATCGTGGTATCGATTGTCATTTTTATGTCATTAGCATATCTACAATATAAAAAATTGAATAACCCAAGACCATCTAAGGGATCTTTTTTAAAAAAGTTTATACTAAAAGTTGAACTGAAGGTCGATAAGACAAATAAACAGATTGATATGAAAACTAATGATTTGGGAGAAGGTGACATTAAGGATATTAAAACAGATAATCAGGAGGGTGGGAGAACTCTTTTTCAGAATATTAGATCAACCATTGGAGTACCTTTGGGGAAAATTAAAAAATAAGTTTTGATGTTGGTAGTTATGATTTTAACTTTATTATTTCGTTTGTATATTTTGGCGGATCGATTGTTGGATTACTTAGATTCGGATGATGATGATGATATTGATCCACATCATATACATTAGATTATATATTATATATTATTTTATTTTTTATTTTATTTTATATGTATTTACTTTAACGTAATAAATAATTTTGAATATAAAAATGTGTTATATTCTTTATTAAATTGTGAGAGAATAAGATGAAAGATTTATCTACGAAAAGATTCAGACGTTTTAATTTCACTCTTTACGAACATGTGGATATATCATTTGTTAAACTTATGGAAGATAAATTTAACGATTCGAATAATTGTATTCAGTATATTATTTTCCAATTGGAGTTCAATCATCATGCTTCGGGTACAGGTGGGCGTGTACACATGCAAGGATTCGTGATCTTAAAGGATCAGATGAGAATTGGAAAATATAATCCAAAGGGTGAATTTGGATCTGAAATTAAAAATATATTTAAATCAAATAGTATTCATATTGATTTTGCAAATGGAACACCAGAGCAGTATAGAGATTACTGTCGTAAGAAATATAACTGATATAAAAATCATGATAAATGTAGATGTGATTATTTTAATTTAGAAAAGATATGTGAAAAATGCGATGATAATTGCATTAGAGATTTAGCTCGTGTGTGTGATGTGAATGAAGATGATACACCATCTGGACCATGGGAGTTTGGTGTTATGAGATGTGATGATCCAATTAAGGGTAATAGGCGTTCAAAAAGGAATAGTGAAATTGAATGTATGGCAAAAGTGATAGATAAGATTGTAGGGGGTGAGGATATTAATGAGGTACTTGTGGAATATGCACCTATGATTTCATCTCGTGTTACAGTTAATATTGATAGAATTGCAAAGACAGTGAGTAATGTGAATAACAGATTTGAAAAACAATGCTGGGATCCATGTAATATTTACATATTTGAGACACCCGGAACTGGAAAAACCTTTTGGACTAGTATTGTATTTCCAAATGCATATAAAAAATCGATGGATGATGATTGGAAGTGGTGGGAAAATTATAATAATAATTATATCATTGTTATTAATGAGATGGAACGAGAGTCTACATCTTGGAAGAATTTGCTTAATATTCTCGATCGAGTTCCAATGAGAATTCAGGTTAAGGGATCATCACGTGAGTATGTTGGGATGTATCAAGTATTTACATCGAATACAGGATTATGGGAATTGTATGATTATTATGAAAATCTCCCATACTATGAGATATCAAATGGATTTAGATTACCAAATAGAAAATATTACTCAGCGATCGAGAGAAGATTTAATTTTATTATAGAGTATCATAAGATTAGAGATGATGGCATACGTGTTTGTAATGTGGAATGTACGTGTTGCAGAATTCAGAGAATTTTTCATAAGGGCTCAAGAGAAAAATTTCAAAAGTTAAAATTTGATATTGAATTCGATAGAGATATAACTCAGGATTGTGCATTGGAAATTGTACGAAAGTTAAATAGAAAAGGAAAGTTGTTACGATTGGATAATAAGATTATCTGGAGAGAAGATTTTAATAATGATAATAGATATATGGTTGATGATGGGGACGAGTTGCATTTAGATTTCATTGTGTATCCTGAGATTATAGAAAAGCTTAATAGGAATAATCATAATTACGAGATTGAAATTATTGAGGAGATATGTGAACTGAGGGATGATAATGGGATGCGAAAAAGAAGACGAGATTGTAGTGATGAGAATTCAAAAAGATTAAAAATTTCTCATGATCAGAATATTCTTTAAATTTTAAAATGAAAATTAAATATTAAGAATGTTAGTCATATTTGGTAATTTTGAATTATTTCTCAAGATATTTATCATTAACTATGTTTGGTAATTTTGATATCTTCTCGTAATATTTCTCGTTAACCATGTTTGGTAATTTTGAATTATCTCACAATATTTTCATTAACCATGTTTGGTAATTTTGAATTATATTCCTTATTAACCAATGTCTGGTAAATTATTTTTTTATTTTTTTACGACATTTGATATATGTTATTTATATTCGGATAACTATATAAAGGGATCGTTTGAGGTAGTTTAATTCAGGATGTCGAAAAGAAGAATAAATTTATCTCGTGATAAGGTAAGTCATTTTTTCTATGAACTGAAACTTCCCTTCACTCACGGAACCGGAGGTCAATTTTTAACGGGTTATGTCGGACCGGGGTCTCTCTGTCTCCAATTACATAAATCGGCTGATTTGTGTGATTTCCGAGGCTATAGATGATACCTGGAATCATCTGAAACTGAGAACTGGCTGTAATATACATGAATCGGTCATGTTGAACAGATCGAAGAGAACGTGTGAGAAATTATGATTCACCAATTCTCCGAATTGACATGATTTATTATTTTTAGAAAGATCGATATTACAAAAGTATTTATGAATTATTCGATAGATGGGATTTGAAAGAGAGACTTACGAAAAAGTCGAAGGATGAATTCTTTGTAAAATGTAAAAAACATAATTTTTACGTAAAGTGTGTTTATAATCAGAAAGGATCGGTGAATACTAGTGTAGTAAATAAGATGATTACGAACACGTTTAACTTTCATGAAATTATTCTAATATTATGTACGGAGAATGAATTGAGTGAAAATACCCAAGACTTAATTGATAATGTGGCCAGACCCATATTTGTGACTTATAAAAGTAATTTGATTAAAAAGGTTCAGAGTTTTTTGTAAATAAAAGAATTCGTAATTTTATATAAATAAACACTTAAATTTTGATCTCACCAATTGTGCTCAGGATTTTAAATGATAATTCAAAAACTTGAACATTATATTTGTAACTTTCAGTAGTATTTTCACTCTTGTCAATTGAACGATGGATGATATTAAAACGGTGCAAGACCTGATTTGCGAGGAGTTATCATCATTTGTGAATAATCAGCTTGTTGCTTTAGCCGAATATATCATGAAAAGAATGTGGGATAATAAGGTCTTGAAATATTCCACATCATTTCGTACATATATTGAAAAAACTTTAAATGGATTATATATAACACATATGGAACTCTGTGTGGCATTGTTCTATCTCATAAAAATAGAACAAAATGTTAAAAGATTAAACATTTCAATTTATTATATACGTAGAATGTTTACTGTCGCTCTTATATTGAGTAAAAAATATTTAAATGATTGTTGATGTCGAAATTTCTATTGGGTGAATGTTACAGGATTGAAATTACGAGAAATTAACATGTTTGAAAAAAACTTCTTGAATTTAATTGAATATGATTTATTTATAGATGAATATATATTCTGTTCTTTCTTATTTGATATTCAATATATTACATTTCAACATTTCAGTAATTAAGTATTGATATAATATATATTTCCGTAGATGTCAAAGAGCTCTGTGATATTTTGTTGATTAATATGGTTATCATGAATGTTATTTATTTTATATGATTTAGCAGAGTCTGATTGAATCGATTTATTAAAGTTGAGATTACTTTGAATTGATTCGTTGGTATATTTTACTGTGTTAATCTCTGTGAAATCAAAGTGTATTGGTTTGTCTGTAATATGAATCGATCTATTGATGGATTTATCGACATAATTTTCATCATTAGTTACAAGTTGAATTGGGTTGTTGATATACTTTATCTTGTCTTTAGATTGAATTAATTCATTTGTGTTATATATCATTTCGCTGATATTAGGTTGAATAGATTCATCGTCTGTGATATAAATCGCATCACTGATATTATGCTGAATGGATTTATTGGTATTATTTTCTTCATCATTAGTTGATTTATCTTCGATATAAATTGATTCATTAGAGTTGTGTGCATCTTTGACAGTTTCGGTGGAATCATGTTGAGAGGTTAATTCATCACTAATGACTGATGATTCATCCTTAAAGATATTGGCGATGGAGATGAGGATGCGTTCATATTTTTCAATTTTTTTTTTTAATTTTGTATGTGATTTTAGTAATCTATGATGAGTTGTTCTTAAGTTTCTAAGAGTGGTTAACTTGCTGTGATATTTGTCATAAGGAACAAATTTTTCATGTTTCTTTGCGAACGTGATTTTTTTAAACATGTTTGTATATATCAAAATACTAAGTAGGTCTTATATATATGTATTTGATATTTTTATCAAGTATGGTTTAGTATATATGTGATGAACCAATCGGAATTGGTTTATTAAATAGCATTTTGTGTATATGTGGTGAACCAATCGAGAACAAACTCTTATGGATCGTGGGAGAGTTCTTAGTAGATCGTGGGAATTGATCAGAGTTTTTTAAAATATGGTAAATTAATTTCATTGAACCAATCAGAATATATGTGATTAGTTATGAGATTGTAAATGAGATATTTGCTATAAAAGACATCTCGATCTTGATGGTTCAAATCACAAGAAATTAAAAGAATTCCATTAGATTTGCCAATTTTGTATAAAATCGATTACGGTGTGACTTTATTGAGATGAACAGAATATCTTATCACCAATTTGATCGTGTGAGAAGAAAGGCGAATAATCATTTCTGCGATGAGCATATCGTGAAGGAGAATCAGATTTCAGCAGATCGAATCGACTTTGGAAAGAGTGTCGTTCAATATCGTGTACCTGATGGTAATAAGTACAAGTATTAAAGAATTCCGTATAATGATTTCTTTAAGTGCGATTGTGTGGATAAACATTTTGGATGTCGTCTCTATCGAAGAAGGCGTTACACCAAATTGATTCAAGGAAAATTAGTGAATATGAATCGTAAAAATTCAAAGATGATTTATAATAGATATTTACAATCGTATAAGCCAGACTATGTTGTTTATTTTTGGATTAAGTATTGATGTATTTTAAAATTCTTTAATCTCGAATGTAATATTTATTACGGAACGTGATTGGTATTTGATATTTTCAATTTAGGATTATTAAATAGGACTAGTTCTTGATATTTAAAAGTACCAAACATGGCTAGTAATCTCAAGATTTAAAATTACCAAATATGACTAGTATTCTCAAGATTTAAAATTACCAAACATGACTAGTATTCTCGAGATTTAAAATTACCAAACATGTCTAGCGTTTTTAAGATTTAAAATTACCAAACATGACTAGTGTTCTCAAGATTCAAAATTACCAAACATGTCTAGTGTTCTCAAGATTTAAAATTACCAAACATGTCTAGTGTTCTCGAGATTTAAGTTACAAAGTACTATTTGAAATTATCAAATGCAGTGAGTATTTCGATAAGAAGTTCAAGTAAATTTTATGTCATGATTAAATGATGAAATTTATATAAAAGGACATGAGGTTTGAGAAGGTTTTGAATCTCAGCTCAAACTCAATATGACAACTGAAATAACTGAAGAATACGTACGAGCTGTGATCAAAAATACTCAGTCTATTTACTCACTTCGAACTCCTGAGGATATATCTCTGATCATGGGGATAGTGGATTCTCTTCTTGTATCATTTCAACATAAATTGATGATGTTGGTATCTTTTTGAATGAGTATGACTCCGTTTGGAAAGAATATAATCAAGAATCTAATCACCTTGAAGGTTGGGATTATCATCATACTGATCATGAAGAACATATCCAATCAGATGTGGAAAGACTTCCGATGATAGAGGAATCTCCGTTTGAATCGGAAATTCATGATATGAAAAGACTTCCGATGATAAAGGAATCTCCATTTGAATCAGAAACTTATGATGATCTTTATGAAATGGATTATTGGTGTGATGTATGTGAGAAATGGGTCGAGGATGGTGAGGTATGTATCAAGGATAAATGAGACCACTTTCATACGTTCTGCTCAAAGTGTGAACAGATTGTGGAATTCCACAAGAACGGGGTGTATATAAATGAGTGCATTTGTGATTTTGTGCCGGTGATTGATTATTTTAACTCAAGAGAAGAGTTGAGACGGTTTTTTTTGGTAAATAATGTTCAAGGTTTGTGTATATTTTGTGAAAATAATTGCTCGGAGAAATTATGTATGTGTGAGTTTATATGTGGATTGAAATATGTGATGGGATATGATAAATATGGAAAGGTTATGTATGGAACATGTGGTTGGTACTTCGATAATTTAAAAGATGTTGAACATGATTGTCAGGAGGGGGTTCATCGTGGATTTGATTGTATTGATCATTCGGAATGATATTAATTGTATATTTATATTTTAATAAATAACACCTCATCCAGTGCCACGCGCACCAGGATGAGGTTTGAATGATGTAACTATGGGAGCTGACAAAAGAAAAGATGTATTAGACTCTGATTCCGAATTTGAATTCAAGAGATTGAAGGCTGATAAAGAAAATTCCATGGAACTTAAACCCAACCCTTCTGGATCTAAGCGAAAGCAACCTGACTCTGGAGATGAGGAATCCAAACCATTAGGTTCTAAACCCAACTCTCGACTATCCCAAAAAAGGATCAAGAATTCGGACAAGCTTGATGTGGGGATGATTAATAGGATATTGTTATTGGGTGATGATAATATGAAAAAAATTTTAGACTGCGAGAAATCTTATCAACTTTCTAATTTGGTTGATGAAATTGCATTTGATATTATTAAGATTGAGAGTGAGAATTGGGAAGAAAAAATGAGTGTGCTTCAATTATATAACAAGATTAGACGTGAGATTTATTCGGTTATCGAAAAGAAAATTTCGGATAGAACTCCAGAGGTTTGTACATGGTTGGTAACAGTTTGCCAAGGACCGGCAAGAGGAATGATGTATAAGGATTTTAAGCTTCAAAAGTGGTTATCCGAAAATTCCAATGTAAAAAACGATTGAATATCACATGATATTTTTAAATTTTATTTGATATAAATAAAGCAAACCTCATCCAGTGCCATGCGCACCAGGGTGAGGTGTTCCTTTCGTAACTTAAAAATGTCAAATCTAAAATCTTATGCTTTGTATCTTTTTTTCGTTTCCGGTAGAGATGTAATTCTCAGGAGTTATGATGAATATTATCATTATGATTTCCATCAATACGATTCTAATTTATCACATGTCGAAATGTGGGATACGGTTTATGGTTATCCATATGTCCATGAGAACGACGAAGATGCAGTGGTGAGATTAACAAAAGATCAATTTGGTATTGAACTCAATTTACGAGAAATCGAATATTTATTTGATGATTTGATGTTTAACAAATTTTATATTTGTGATACACGAATGTTTAATGTTGATGGATTGAAATATCAGAGAATCACATCTCAGAATTACTTGGAGTTTGAGGATAGTGTTGATTTCTACATTCATTTGGCACTAGAAACGGATATATTTAAAAAATTAGATACGAGAGAGGAGGATAAGGGTGGAGAGATATACTCGTAAATTGAAACGAATGGGAATTGATCAAAATCTTATTATTAGTTATAAGAATAGAGTTGGGAGGTTGAGACGTCGAAAGCCATATTAACATCATAGATTTTACATTGATAAATCTTGTTAATAAAATTTGACCTCGTCTAGTGCTTAAAGCACCAAGACGAGGTATTATTTAGATAAATTTGTGAAGATGTCAGTATCAACATATGAAAAAGGTGAGTGTGCATTGATGATGCTATTTTGATAAGGTACACCCGTCGGGTCCCTTCCACCCCCCGCGTGACCGTCAGGATGGGGGGTTAAAATTGTCTCTGATAATGGCGAGGTGCTAACACTCGCAATCATTTATTTTTAGGAAAGGAATTTGAGAACAAGATATTTTCCATCTTGAATAAAAATTCAAAATTTACTGTTAATTTGACGAGAAGTGTTCAAGGTGATGGAGGGGTTGACTTGATTCTGTTTTATCAAGATATGACCATTTTTATTCAATGTAAAAATTTTACATCGAAGGTTGGTTTGAATCATGTGAAAGAATTTGTAACAACAGTTGAGGCAAATGGGAGTGATAAAAAATTGGGTTTATTGATATCGTCCAATGGTTTTACAAAATCCTGTTATGATTACGAGAATCAAAATTTGATTCTTTTAACTGAGAGTGATGATATATCTAGATGTATTATCTCTCATTACCAGATGCGTGACTTATATAATAGAAAGAAGGATTTGAGATCAAATGTGAATATGTTAAAATTAGACATACATATGAATGTTGAATATGTGATTATTATACTTATTATAATTTTTGTATTGATTAATTTTAACAAGATTGATTAAAAATTTCTTATAAATAAAGTGATTGATGTTATATTTTACAAGATATCTCGAATTTTATATTATTCGTTAAGATGAAGAGAATGAAATTATCAAGTATTTATTTTCAGAAAAGAAGATTCGATGAGATTGATATATCTAGATGTATTATCTCTCATTACCAGATGCGTGACTTGTATAATAGAAAGAAGGATTTGAGATCGAATGTGAATATGTTAAAATTAGACATACATATGAGTGTTGGATATGTGATTATACTTATTATAATTTTTATATTGATTAATTTTAACAAGATTGATTAAAAATTTCTTATAAATAAAGCAATTGATGTTATATTTTACAAGATATCGAATTTTATATTATTCGTTAAAATGAAGAGAATGAAATTATCGAGTATTTATTTTCAGAAAAGAAGATTCGATGAGATTGATATTTCTGAGATTGCAATGTCGATTCGCAGATTGGGCATCACATGAGGTGTTGAGTTTGTAGTCTTGGAGGAAATCTTTACAAGTGAAGATGGGATCCATTATTTTGAAAATTTTGATGTGATATCCGCTCAGGATGATAAACAGAAGGATGAATTATTGAGATTGGTGAATGAAAAGTTGGATGAGATATGTAATTATGAGGTGAATGATTTGATTGAATATCACAAATTATTGAATCAAGATCACAAAGAGTTTAATTATTTGATTGAAAAAATGGATGGCTTGATTTACGATGGAGTTGAGTTTGACATTCACTTATTGATAAGTGAATGGGATAAAATGACCAAATTAATTGATAAATTTATTAAATGTTTGAGATGTAGAAAGATGTATTATGGATTGCGTGAAGATCTTTATTCCGAGAATGAGGATTTTTAAGATCACGTGAATAAACGATTCTTCTAAATGTCATTTTTTTAAAAAAAAATAAACTTATCTTTAATAATATCATCTGCGATTAAGTAATCATATCACGTGTGGGCATTTCAGCCACACGTGATATTTAAAATGAATATTAGTTCGATTCAAAAATTACCAAACATGGTTAGAAATTCAGAGATATCAAATGTGGTTAGACGCTTGAGATTTAAAAACATAGTTAGAAGTTTTAGTTCGGAGATATCAAATGTGGTTAGACGCTTGATATTCAAATTTACCAAATATGGTTGGATACTTGAGATTCAAATATACCAAAC